CCTTTCAGAGACGAAACAGTTCAAGTAGCCGAATGTAGAATGAAATATCCCGCAAAGTAAGAGCTGTATGTAACTGCAACTATGATAAATATGACCATTTATCACGTAAGAAAACTGAGAGTTTTGTGAAATAAAACAGAGTCTCAATTCTGCTGCTGTTGTTTCTGTTTTATCATTGAAACTAAAAGAACAAACTGAATTCATGAAATACTTTCATTACCACTAATATGATAGCACTGGAAACTTATGAAGTAAGCTTCAACATATTTTTTGTTGTAATTTCGTCGATGAACGGTAAAAAAATATTGAATACGAAGTATTATTAAATTTGAGTATAATAAGCATTTTTTTCATGAAAGAAGCGTGTCAATACCAGTAAGAGACGAGAAATTTAGACTTTAGATTGATCATTTAATAAGTAGAGCCACATATAGGTCATATCTGTTAAGTAAGAATACAGATTGTTTTCTGCTAAATTCTGTCGAATTGAATATGCTTTTACCTTTAACTTAATTACATATACCAAGTTTCTGTGTAACAGAATGCGGTTTGATCGTCACAAGACAGATGTAGCATATAATCATATTGTCTGCAAGTGGTTCTGGAGAAAACATAACGACTGAGAGTTTGTTAAAGGCAGATCCTCAGTAAGTCGATCAAATTATCATTCAACAGATTTTCAGCTGAATTCCATCGGTTTTTCTTTTATTATAGTTAATATTGCAATTTTCTATTCTATTGAATACTTCAATAAAAATCAAAAACTTGATAAATCGGATTAAACTTAAGAAGGATGTCTTAAGAGCACGGTTTATTCTGGACTTTATCTAGTCTTAATAGATTCTATTTAACAAATAAAGTTTCATCTCAAAAGTTTCTCATAACTTGAAACGTTCCATACGTGAGACTATCAACCACCGTATCATACCATAAAGTCAAAATAAAAATCGATTAATGTCAGACTTTTTTTGCGTATAGCAATTGATTTGCATCTGGTCATAATTCGCTCAAAAAGACTGTTTCCAATCGATTTTAATTTAAATTTTGTAGCAGAGTAATGAAAAATTATGACTTTAATTATGTTAATATGATTTTGTAATCTCAACCAAATTCAATAAGTAGAAGTATTCATTGAAAACAAAACGAAGAGGCGTTTCATTCTTCAAAAAACAAGATTTTTCGCCAATTCGTAATACACTAATTTATTTCATTGCTATATTTTATTCGTATATTCCCTAGAAAATGCTGGGAGCAATAGAAGAGGTCTAACTCTACTAGAAAGATGTGTTCAAGGTGTAGCTGTACAAAATAAAAATTGTTTAGATTCGCTTTTGACAGTAAATTAACGATGGCGAATGGATAGAAACGCCACTGAAGCCAACAGAAGATTACCACTGTTGTACGTTCCATCATCATCAATCATCATTACCGATCACTTGAGGAGATTTTTTAGGATGAAAATAGTCTAAAGAAATTTGAAGATCTTTCATTGAAACGAAAACGACAAGAAGACTTCTTTCTTAATTGTTTTTGGTTTAATCGAATATATGCAAATTATGATTGTTTTTTAGCAATGACAGAAATATTTCGAGTAAGAAACATGCAATAGTTCGTCAGCTTACTCTGTTTTTTTAAAATAAAACGAGAGTAGCAAAGCATCATAGGTAACTTTAAAGCTGACACTTTCCGAAAAATATGACATGAACTTTATTCATGTTTTTTACGTATAAAAACTAGAATCCTATACTCTTTTGTTTGAAATTAACGTTAATCACATGGCCTGAGTAAATCATTCGTCATAAAACTAACGCTTGACCAAGCATTTTTTTTGCTAGCTAAATCTATAGATTTATTTTTATCCATTGTTCTCTACACTTATTTGAGAACACAGTTGTGCAAATTCTCGCAAAGTCCGCACGATCAGTGTTCAGTGGGTTTTATTAAAAATTGTAATAGACAAAAAGATTGCTTGTTCTAAAGTTTTCAGGGAATCTCGTCCTTCATCCATTGAAATATAAAGGACATAAAAGTGTTAAAAACGTTTCGGAAGAAACAGTTATGTGTTAATGAAACTTATGTTAAGAAAACTGATATAAAATTAGACAACGAAGAATTGATAGATAAGGAAATAGCGGGCATTCAATATCGGACGAATTTCTATCATATTAACAATTCAATATAAAAACTTTAAATCACTTTGATAGCGTCATGAAAATATATCTTGATATGAATATTAGAATTCATATCACACGTATTATAGATCTGTAGACATATCAGATTGAATAAAGCAGTATAATTAAAGTCGGATGGTCGTAAAAGTTGATTATTGTCATAAGGCAAAACAGATGAACGTTGACGAAAATATTACCGCGTACAAAACTTATTGTTTATTATTTTTCAGATATTTATCATTTTTATATTTCGTGAATAGCTTTCTTTTTGTTGAAAATGGCTACAAGTGGTGGAGAAGAAGCGATAGCACAGCGTATTTTACGCATTACAGACATTGCTCAGGAGCCGCTTGAATTTATCACACCCATTGGTGGCTATGAAGAAATGCCACTTGTTCCACTGGAAACAGCTGTTGAACCGCTTGTTCCTATTCTACCAGCTGTTCAAAGTCATGCATATGTTGCCAAACAAAGATGTGAGAATCCTGACGATGGATTGACACAAGATGAATCCGCCTCGATTATGCTATACACGATGAGCTGGAGGCCGCTCAGTAAATGCTTATATTTTGTTTTGAATGATACGTTGCGATCATCAGATCGACAACAAAAGCTCGAACCATGGTATTTGTTTATGAGACTCTTTCTTAGTGCACTTTTTCGTCTCCCGTCGATTCCTACAACTGCATACAGAGGTGTTAAATTAGACTTGAGCGAACGTTACGTCAAAGGAAAAACAATTGTCTGGTGGGGTTTCTCATCGTGCACAACAGCTGTTGATGTTCTAAATTCAAAACTATTTTTGGGAACGACAGGTGACAGAACGATGTTTACCTTAAAATGTCAATCTGCTAAAGATATTCGCAAGCATTCGTATTATCCAGCCGAAAATGAAGTACTTCTTATGGCTGCTACTCAATTCAAAGTAATTGGTTGTCTTAATCAAGGTGATCTTCATATTATTCAGTTGGAAGAGACTCGTCCACCGTTTCCACTTATGCAACCAGTACCAGTTATTATCTCCCCACCGATCGATCCAACTTCTTTAGGTAAGTGAAAATGAAAACGAAAGAATATTCCACTTGATAAATAATAACTCAGCTTTCGATACCCTGAAAAAAGTCAAGAATAATATGCTTCGATCAATGTACGTATCATACAAAATGAGCACAAAGAATCGATTTCCTACCGATTTAAAAAGCGTTCACAAACAAAAAGAAAATAGAGTTAGTTTAAAAGAACAGAAAGAAAGACTTTTCATGATAATCTTCGATTTCTTACATAGTTTAAGTAATCAATTAAGATCCTGATCAGTTTCAATTACTTTTTTCTTCATCTATTAATATCTAATTTCTTTCGTGAAATCTAAAGACGTGATTCAAGTTGATTTGTTTTCTAAATCCACAAGTATCACTGGAAATACTTTCTTCAGGAGATGCTTTCTTCTCCTATACTACCAGCCCAAAGAGTCGTAGATATTGGGTAGATGTAATGATAATTTTTCCTACAACTCTTATCTCAGAATTGTTTGACACATGTTGCTTTTAAACTCATAGTCTTCATCTACTTTTATAATTTTCAATAAATTTTGATTGAATAACACTCCTATTGATATAATTATAGTTTCCAT